CTCTGATACCATAATTATCACGGCCCAAGAATTTACAATACTGATATTCTTGAGATGTGACAGTCAAAACATATATACATCTCATTGATAGGACAAATTTACAGTGGCGAATTCTTATAAAGTAACAAAAGAAAGTTTAAGCGCAACTATAATATCTTCCAAAGTTGATCTTGACGAGCACTCAAAATGAAACCGCAGTTATCCTGAAAAAATGTTTACCATAATTTGATGAGTTTGGCTACTCAGTAAGTGATCATCATAATCCTAAAAATAATCATGATTGAAAGATATCAATATTTTCAAAAAGGAGATCTATTAACAGAAATGCATTAACAGTTTCACTTTCAAAAAATGCATAATTAAGTATAATCCGAGTAATTGAAATGCATATAACATTTTAACGACAGTGCATAATTCAAAAGATTTCACAAAATACCCTACTGTCGTCCCAAGTAAGTCAGCTATATACCCATCAGCATCTTGATGGGTCCACTTAATCCCTATCGGCGTCCCAGATAGGTAAACTTAATCCCTGTAGGTCCACGTATACCTCACCGACGTACCGAATGAGTCCACTTAATCTCTGCCGGCGTCCCAGATAGGTCCACTTATACCTCACCGACGAATCGAATGAGTCCACTTGCATACTTAAAGTATTTCTAAATCTCCTTAAACATTCGAAAGCAGCAATATCATGTACTCAACATATCACTGAAATCACTAATATGAATTTCACTAAAACCATTAATAACAGTCACTTTCAATAACATTTCAAACATAACCAATCAAATATTTTGGGCTCAAATTTAGAAAGGTAGCAGTTCGTAAAGACATTCTAGCATAATTGCCAATGTATAGAAAAACTCGTATAGAAATTCAAGAGTACGGAATTATCACAATTTATAGGATGTCAATTCGCAAATAAACATTTCACAGATAATGCTATAATCAATTGCAAAAATATCAGTTTTCAGATAATAAGGCAGTCATTTGCACATGAATTTTACAATGTCTAAATATTAAATAACAGTAGAAAGAAATCTCACAATTTTAGTAAAAGCAGAACTATCACATTTATTTCTAATAATTTTATTTCTAAAATTTTCTGACAATAAACAAGAAAAATAAATAAATAAATTTATTTCTAAGAATTTAAAACATTTAAAATTTCTAATATCATAATTTTATTAAAAAGATTATTTTTCAAAATAATGAGGTCGCTTGCGCATAAAATTTATCGTGCCTAAAATTCATGATAATAAGCAGAAATAATTATTTCATTTCATTTTTAAAAAGAGCGGATTATTTTTCAAGATAATGAAGTCACTTACCTAAAATATTTGAGAGGGAGCTTAAGATAAAAATTCAGCTATAGAGAGAAAGAGCTCACTACGTTTCGATTAGAGAGAGATCTCAAAACTTTCTAGGGTGGGAATCCTCGCCTCTCCGATTTTAAATTCTTATAATATATTATTATATTATTTTATTAGGCTCCACCTCATACCTGAGGTGTTACCTTAATATTATGTGAGAGACGATTAAGGCCCACGTCAACTAAGGACGTGGTAAGAGAAAGGAAAAAGCTTAAACCAAAAGCTTTTGAAAGTAGTGATGGTCACTAGGGACCATCATGCTCATATAGACCATTATTTATTAAAAGTTTTTTTTTGTTTTTTTTTTTTTTGAAATTTTTAGGATTATTACAGAATAGGTCGCACTGGTACTTCTTGTGACTGGATGCGCTTCTTTTTAGCTCAGTCAGGGGGCTGTCTTGAGTGAGGTGGAAGTACTCTTATTCCATCTGGAGGAAGTTGTCCATGTATACGCCTAGATAGATCAATCAAGGTAATTGACGCGATAGGAGACGAATATGTTTCACGAAACTTTTCAACTGTGAAATTGTTTTCACAATAGTCAACGGGATCCTTATTCATCCTTGAAGGCATTCACAAGCATGTTTGTAGGGCAAGCCCGTTATTTGCCAACCCTGACATTCATATTCTCGTACAATTATATCTATCTTATAATGAATGTGATCACCCCTTGCTTCAAACACTGCTCCACTTGATACAATGACACTAACTGAAAGGGATATTGCTTTATGATCTTTTTTATTTCATTTTTGCATGTGGGGGGTAAGTATTGTACTCCATATTTCAGCTTCCAAGCTTCGGGTGGCCATTAGTTTCATGATTTGTCTTCTAATCAAATCAACACACTGAAGAATTAACATGTCTCGTGCTTCTAAAATCCACTTGTTATATGACTCAGCCACATTGGTTGTTACTTGATTATATCGTTTACTTATGAACAGTGATGTGACCCAACGGTTTGACGTTGCTTCCATGAACCATTTGAATGCGTCTTCAGAAAATGACCTAATTTCATTCATCTTTTCAAAATACTCTTGTGGCTTGTATGCTCTACATGTTCCTACAAATATATTTAACAACTGCCTTCTTAACATCATTAGGTATGTCTTTTGCTTCCTTCTTTAAATTCTCCGCTAACTGACGCTTATATAAGGCATGATGGGCATTCTCAAAAACTTGACAAACTGTATCGACTAGCTTAGGGTGTTTATCAGACAAAAAAATAATTTCACGATCTGTCCCAATAGCAATATTTAAAGATTCCATAAACCATACCCAGTTGTCGGTACTTTCGACAGCCACAATAGCGAATGCAACAGGAGACATTTATTTTTCCCCATCGAGTGAGTTGGCAGCAAGTAAAGTTCCAAGGTATCGTACTTTCAGTGATATCCCATCGAGAAATATAAGTGGACAACATCCACTTTTGAAGCCATGTATTGAGCCATAAAAGCTTATAAACATTTCGATGAAATATACTATTTTGCCATACTTGTCCCATCGCATAACTACCGGGATTCGTCTTAATCACACGATTTACATATACAAGTAACTGGTTGTATGCCTCCTCTTGTGAACCATGTGTGTCTTTGATGACCGTTTCTTTCCCTCGCCAAGCCCTGCAATAGCGGATTTGTAGCCCATAATCTCTAGACAAATCATTTATGGTTTCTTTAGCTTTTTAATGCGCAGTGTCACTTAATTTATCTTGGATTACATATGCAATAAATTTTTGTGACGCTCTTCTTTGTACATCATTGCTTGTCCCAATATCATATGAATGTTTTTTTTTTCATGTTTTGATGCTAAAAATATTCGTCTTGCCTAATTTCGAAGCATATATTTCCCATTTGCTTCTATCACCCTTACATTTTGCCTTTATGCAGTACCCCTCATTATAATAAGATGCTATGTGAAATGGTGGGCTATAGCAAACTTGCTAAGTGCTTTTCGAAAGTCATCTAGAGACTCAAATTGTTGCCCTATATCAGTAAGTGCATCCTTCCATGAACTAAGCAACCTTAGTGCATTGCTTTGTTCAGAACTAGAGAGCAACAAATTAGATCTACGAGGGGCTCTGACCTCTTCGAATACGTTATTATTACGTGAAGTACTTCACCCCTTGATTCACTCCCATCAAATACATACAGAAAGAGATTATTCTCTCTTTCATGTGCATTCAACATCCTCTCAATATCATCGTCAATTAATACATTCACAAAAACTTTTCTATTTCTAAGGACAAAATACCTCAATGATACCAACTATATATCTAGCGAGAAACGCTTTGCTGCATATTTTCGTCGGTCATTTAACCTAGTTCTACTTTCAATCATAAATGTACATGCATCACCACCAATATAATCCAAAGTCCCATCGACATTTGATTGGACTTCTCCACCAAATATACAATAAATCAATCTGCTTTCACTCATTTTATTTTGTTCTGCAAAAGATTTGTAATAATTTACACCCCTCAGTTGAACAAACCCAATAATTATCTAAATACAAAACTAATGACTTTATGGATATAAACATAGAGGCATGAGAAGGAAATAATGGAAGATTTGATAAGGGTAAAATCAGTGAATGCTTGAAGTGATCAATCCATAGAAGCATGGGAAGGAAATAATCGCAAAAATTCATACTAAAAAGAGATGCACGAAATAGGGTAAGATTCACAAATTTTATGTCCAATAATGCAGATAAGTTCGAATAAGAGTTGCCACAATGCCAACAAAAAACTTGGGGATTATTTTGCCCCGAGAGAAATACAATGGCTCATCAAGGAAGAGAAAAACAATGGGTCATCAAATAAATAAGAAACAATGATTCAATGGCTCATCAAATAAGAAACAATCGATGCAAATAAAACAATAACAGCAAAACAAACTCTAAATTTACAACCACCAAATACATTTAAGCCCTAAAATGACAATTTACAACCACCAAATACATTTAAGCCCTAAAATAACAATTTACAACCACCAAATACACTTAATACCTTCATTGTCAATCACAGTACGCCCTAATAAAATTCTACGAACAATCACCATATTACATTTTATAGTGATTTCTTTTTTTAAATCTGGTATATTTTTTTTACAAAAAAATATATAGACCTTACATACCTTTGATGGGCCTGATTTGGGTAGAAAGATAAGCTCAAAATCGAGCTCGGGCTTCCTCGGTTCGAGCTCGAGCGTTGCCATCTTTCGTAGAGAGAGGGAGAGACCTCGGCTCAAAATTGAGCTCGGGCTTCCTTGGTTTGGGCAGAGAGCGAGGGTGGGAGTTCGTGGGGACAAAAAGGGAGGGAGCTCAGGGAAAATCAACGCAGAGAGAGAGGCCTGTGTGGTAAGGAGGGTGTCGATATAGAAAGGGAGGGAGCTCGAGGAAGTTAGCTCACAGTGACAGAGGAGTGCATGGTAAAAAAATCGGATGGGTAAAATGCCTTAAGGTTAAGAGAGAAAAAGGGTAGTTTAGGTATTATTATTATTATTATTATTTTTATTTTTATTTTTTTTAAAGGGGGTGTTTACCATGAAAAGTAGTGTTGGGGAAAAATATGTGACCTAGGGGCTAACTTGCAGGGATAATATATGTGGGTGTTTTTTTTTCTCTTCCTCATCCCGACGATTTATGACGCTTTCAATTTTCTCTGTTTTTTTACCCCGTGTCAGCTATTTGCCCATCATTTTTGGATCAGAAGATTGCAAGTAAGCAATTTGCCCATCATTTTTAGGATCAGAAAATTGCAAATAAAGTTCACTGCTGTTTGTTTTCTGATTTGGAGAGAGAGAGAGAGAGAGAGAGAGAGAGAGAGATTGTTGAGGCCATGGATTTGGGTGATGAGAATGGCTACTCTGGTTTCCAGTCTCTGAGCATCGCAACAAAGAGTGCAATCTACGTTTGGGGCTACAACGAGAGTGGGCAAACAGGAAGGAATGGCAAAGAATGCCATCTCAGAGTACCAAAGAGGTTGCCGTGGACACATTTCAAGCTCAAATCTCGATTCATCGACATTGCTTGTGGGCGAGAACACACCGCCGCTGTTTCAGCAGATGGAAGCCTCTTCACTTGGGGTAAGCCTTTCTCCTATTTGTTTATTATTTCTCGTTTACAGGTTACCCCTCTCTCTCTCTCTCTCACACACACACACACACACACACACACTAGGAAATTGTTATTTCGAATTGGTGTGCCGCTCTTTCTCTTTCTTATTAGGAAATTGGTATGTCGAATTCGGGTGCCTCTCTCTCTTTCTCATTAGGAAATGGGTATTTCCAATTGGGTGCCTTTCCCTCTCTGTTCTTGTATCTGTGGTTACCTGTGTCTCTCTAGTGTCTATTATTAATTTACTGTTGTTATTGTTGCCATCATCATTCATCTTCATCATCATCATCCTCATCCTCATCATCATCTGTGGTTACCTGTTTCTCTCTAGTGTCTATTATTAATTTTACTGTTGTTATTGTTGTCATCATCATCCTCATGCTCATCCTCATCCTCATCATCATCATCATCATATCATCATCATTGTTCTGGCCTGTGGCAACCTTGAGAAAATGGGGGAATTGGGTTGGAATTGGGGTTAGTGTATCTCTCAACGTCTCTCTCTTTCAAGGTTGTGGTTTATGGGTTGTTGCTTAGATGAAATGGTAAAATTGGAATGAAATTGTGTACCTCCCTCATCTTTCTCTGTTTTTTTTTTGTCTTATAAGCTTGTGGTTTGTTGGGTTGGAGTCTGAGAATTGAGAATGGCTGCCACCCCCCGCTCCCCTTTTCTCTGTCTCTCTCATTTCACAGAAGAGTTTGTAGCGAAGTTCAAAAACTCGACTCCCGGCTCAGGACTTGATTTATGGTTTATTGGGTGTTAGTGTATAATATTTAAAGTCTATAAATGATAGAAGGCACTTGAAGTCTATTAAAGATCGAAAAAAATGGCAAAGAAGATGGAGCGTGGAAGACTTTGATTTCTAACTTGAAAAAATTCTGAAACTTCAAAAAAGGGCGAAAAGGAAAACGGTGATTACAATAAGAACAATTCATTAATCATTGATATAATAATATAATAATACATTTATGTGAACATTAATTAGTGATTAGTAATATTAATTTTATAAAAATAATTAAATTTCCATTTTGCACATATAAACTTGCCGTGGCACTCTGCCGAGGCCGAGTTACTTGGCCATAGTCGTTAGTGGACTTGGCCAAGTCTTGGAAAGCTGGTTTGTAGTCTGAGAAAATGGAAAATGTGGTGTGGTTAGAATTGGAGTGCTCTGTGTGAAAAATGTTGACATACAGTTGCATTGAGTCTCTCTTTCTCTCTCTCTCTCTCTCTCTCTTTTGGGGTACTTGTCTGGTAAAATGGTGAACTACAATTGAATGTGGTTAGGATTACTCT